GGAGGCATCCGGAACAGATGCCCGAGCCACCTCAACTGGTTCCTCTCGACGTGGAGAAGCAGCGGCTCTACTCCGAGCTCCTCCCGTATGACCGAGTTCCTCACCCTATCTCTAAGGGAGCGCCCAGGCACTCTGCGGAGAAAACTCATTTCGACCGCTTGTATCCGCGATCTCGTTCTTTCGGTCATTATCCAAAGCTAATGACCATAGGTGAGGGAGGGAACGAAGATTGACCAGTAAATCGAGAGCTTTGCCTTTCGGCTCAGCTCCCTCTTTACCACAACGGTCCGATACAGCGACCGCATCGCTGCGCACGCTGCACCGATCCGCCTGTCAATCTCACGCTCCATCCTTCCCTCACTCGTGAACAAGACCCCGAGATACTTGAACTCCTACACTTGAGGAAGGACCTCCCCACCCACCCGGAGAGGACAAGGCACCTTTTTCCGGTCGAGAACCATGGCCTCGGATTTGGAGGTGCTGATTCTCATCCCAGCCGCTTCAAACTCAGCTGCAAACCGTCCCAGAGCATGTTGCAGGTCCTGGTTCGTTGGAGCCAACAAGACAACATCATCCGCAAACAGCAGAGATGAAATCCTGCTGTGGTCCCCAAACCGGGAGAAAGGGCAGGCTCCTTTTGTGGCACCGGCACCTGCCACAAAAGGGCAGGCTCCTTTTGTGGCACCGGCACCTGCCACAGCTGATCAGTGGCATGTACACAACAAATGGCGTTTAAAACGGCATGTGGACAACAAGTGGCGTTTAAAACGGCATGTGGGCAATAAATGGCGTGTAAAGCGCCATGTGGGCAATAAATGGCATTTAAAACGGCATGTGGACAACAAGTGGCGTTTAAAACGGCATGTGGACAACAAGTGGCGTTTAAAACGGCATGTGGACAACAAGTGGCGTTTAAAACGGCAGGTGGGGAATAAATGGCGTGTAAAGCGGCATGTGGACAACAAGTGGCGTTTAAAACGGCATGTGGACAACAAGTGGCGTTTAAAGCGGCATGTGGGCAATAAATGGCGTTTAAAACGGAATGTGGACAATAAATGGCGTTTAAAACGGCATGTGGGGAATAAATGGCGTGTAAAGCGGCATGTGGACAACAAGTGGCATTTAAAACGGCATGTGGACAACAAGTGGCGTTTAAAACGGCATGTGGGGAATAAATGGCGTTTAAAACGGCATGTGGACGATAAATGGCATTTAAAATGGAATGTGGACAATAAATGGCGTTTAAAACGGCATGTGGGGAATAAATGGCGTGTAAAACAAATACAGTTGACAGCAGCCTGTACAAAAGACAACAAGCAGCAGTATTAGAGATAGTGGTCCAGTGGCTCAGATGGAAAAGCACAGGTCTACGGTGTTGATGGTTGCTAGTTCAAATCCCCCGTAACTACCAATGACATTTGCTGATGTTGGGTCCTTGGGCATAACACTTCATGGAGAATTTCAGAAGTGCCATAAGTTGTTTGAAAAATGTAGTTTGAGTTCTAATTAATTTAATTTAATTTAATTTAATTTTTAATTTCTTAATTTAATTTTAAAAATTTAAAATTTCATGTATTAGATGTGGTTTAGATTTCTGAAGAAGTGTATATTCCTGTGGCGCACTTGGTTTATAATTGTCTCTCATGCGGAAGATTCCTGGTTCAAATCCAGGTCTGGTCTTTATTTTTTTGTTGTCAGAAGTTGAATATGTATGAATATATATTTCATACATATGGCTATGTGTTGTTCCAATAGTAATCTTGCAATAGGATTAATATTGCATCATCGTTAGGGTAAAACTAAATGATGTGTAAAACACGCAAGACACAATTTTACTTAAAACCACCTGGTGAGTGGTATAGCTGGTGTGTGTCCGCCAATCATGCAAGAGTTCGCAGATTCAAATCCAGCCAAGATCAAAAACTTTTTTATGACGGTTATTTCTTTATACATTTATATATCTATAAATATCTATATATATCTTTATATATATATATACAGTTTTTATATAACTGCCATTAAAAAAAAAACAATACTTTGATTCGATCTGCCAATCTTACGCACTATAGACGAATGTTTAATGCCTGCGCCACTTATTTTGTGTTTTGGCAAAGAAAAAACCGAAAGATTCTATTGTTGTTTTAGGATATTTAATCAAGAATGGAGCCAACCAAAGATGGTGAAGAGTGATGGATTGAAAAATACAAGCAGAAAGTTGTGTAATTGGAACATGAGGTTTCATCTCTATATTGTTAAAATCTTCATTTCTGTTCTTGGACCGTTTAAGCTGTGTCTTATACTTTGCATTCTTTTATAAAAAAATATATGTATTAATGCTCTTTCTTATTGTTCCATGTTTCAGATGTGGTTTTATTAAAGAAGAGAGAAATAAAATGATTTTTTCTTTTATTTTTTATATATATATAATGTCATACATATTAAATTTGTATTTAATCTGACAAAAAAAAAATCACAACCTGCCCTGGATTTGAACCAGGTATCTTCCGCATGAGAGGTAGTTATAAACCAAGTGCGCCACTGGATGACGCAGCACATGTGGAATTTAAACTATGTATAATACATGAAATTAAGTCTTTCAACAAATGTATGCAACATATATTATTATTACTCAAACAACATTTTTCAAACAATTTATGGCACTTCTGACATTCTTCATGAAGTGTTAGGCCCAAGGAACCAACATCAGTAAATGTCATTGGTAGTCACTGGGGATTTGAACTAGCAACCATCAACACCGTAGACCTGTGCTTTTCCATCTGAGCCCCTGGACCACTAGCTTCACTAATGCTGCTTGTTGTATTTTGTACAGGCTGCTTTCAACTGTATTTGTTGCCCACATGCCATTTTAAACAGCATTTATTCCCCACATGCCGTTGTAAACGCCATTTATTGCCCACACGCAGCTTTACACGCCATTTATTCCCCACATGCCGTTTTAAATGCCACTTGCTGTCCACATGCCGTTTTAAACGCCACTTGTTGTCCACATGCCGTTTTAAACGGCATTTATTGCCCACATGCCGCTTTACACGCCATTTATTCCCCACATGCCGTTTTAAACGCCACTTGTTGTCCACATGCCGTTTTAAACGGCATTTGTTGTCCACATGCCGCTTTACACGCCATTTATTCCCCACATGCCGTTGTAAACGCCATTTATTGCCCACATGCCACTTTACACGCCATTTATTCCCCACATGCCGTTGTAAACGCCATTTATTGCCCACATGCCGCTTTACACACCATTTATTCCCCACATGCAGTTTTAAACGCCACTTGTTGTCCACATGCCGCTTTACACGCCATTTATTCCCCACATGCCGTTTTAAACGCCACTTGTTGTCCACATGCCGTTTTAAACGCCACTTGTTGTCCACATGCTGTTTTAAACGCCATTTGTTGTGTACATGCCACTAATCAGCTGTGGCAGGTGCCGGTGCCACAAAAGGAGCCTGCCCTTACTGCAAACCGGACCCCCTCCGACCCCTGGCTGTGCCTAGAAATTTTGTCCATAAACACAGTGAACAGAACCGGTGACAAAGGTCATCCCTCTCGGAGGCCAACATGCACCGGGAACAGATCTGACTTACTGCCAGCAATCCGAACGCAGCTCTGGCCGGACGGCCCTCAACAGAGGACCCCGGACCCCGTACTCCCGGAGAACCCCCCAAAGGACACCCCGGGGAACACGGTCGAACGCCTTCTCCAAATCCACAAAGCACATGTGGACAGGTTGGGCGAACTCCCATGAACCCTCGAGTATCCAATGGAGAGTATAGAGCTGGTCCAGTGTTCCGCGGCCGGGACGAAAACCACAATGCTCCTCCTGAATCCGAGACCTGACCACCGTACACGGTGTTGGCAAAGAACTGCTTCCCCCTCCTGAGGCGCCGGACGGTTTGCCAGAATCTCTTTGAGGCCGACCGATAGTCATGCTCCATGGACTCTCCGAACTCCTCCCAGTCCCGGGTTTTTGCCTCTGCAACAGCCCGGGCTGCGGCACGCTTGGCCAGCCGGTACTGGACAGCTGCCTTAGGAGTCCCCCGAACCGTCATGGCTCGATAGGACTCCTTCTTCAGCTTGACGGCATCCCTTACTGACCCCTGCGACCACAGCTACGAGCCGCCGCATTGGCGATAGAGGAAGAGAGCATGGTCCACTCGGACTCGATATCCCCCTCCTCCGCCGGAACCTGGGAGAAGCTCTCCCGGAGGTGTGAGTTGAAAGTCCGTCTGACAGGGGGCTCAGCGAGACATTCCCAGCAGACCCTCACTACACACTTGGGTCTACCAGGTCTGACCGGCTTCCTGTCCTGCCAGCGGATCCAACTCATGACCAGGTGGTGATCGGTTGACAGCTCATATGTATGAGCAAACTGTGTATGAGCAAACTGTGACTAGCACAGAAGTCCAACAACTGAACACCGCTCGGGTTCAGATCAGGGTGGGCGTTCTTCCCGATCACCCCTCTCCAAGTGTCACTGGCATTTCCCACATGGGCGTCCCCCAGGAGAATAACGGAGTCCCCGGTCGGTGCACTGTCCAGTACCCCTACCAAGGACTCCAAGAAGGCCGAGTACTCTGCACTGCTGTTAGGCCCGTAGGCCGTCACAACAGTGAGAGACTTATCCCCACCCGAAGGCGGAGGGACACGACCCTCTCATTCACCGGGGAGAACTCCAACACGTGGCGGCTGAGATGGGGGGCAATGAGTATGGCCACCCCAGCTCGCCGCCTCCATTGGATACGCTAGAGGGTCTCTCTCAGCTGTGCAGGGACTCGCCTCAAGATTCCACCGGATGATCCGGAAGAGATGTGAATGGATTGGGCTCCTCTGCTCAAACCAGATAAAATGGTAGAAAATAGATGAATGTGTCAAAAATATTGTTTTATGTATGTACCTACAGTTACAGTAGGTATTTGTACTGTTTTATTCTGATTCAATCGCATGAAAAATTTACATATTATTAAAAAACATACCTCTGTTACTGTCCCTGATGATGTGCTTCCTGGTGAGTCCAGCTTTCGTTTCTTGCGTGGCCCAATGGCTGCTAGTGCTGTGAGGTTTGCGTCTCGCTGTCTCATCTGCGCCAGTTCCTGCTGCTGCATCTGTGAAAGACAAAAACAAGTTTAACAAGAGTCATAGCAGCACAGTGAATAACTGACAACATATGATATAGATAACATGTTATTATTATAACTGCCAAGATGAGTATTCCTACTTGGTTATGAATCCTATGCTAGATCAATTTGAGAAACAAAATAACAAAATAAACAGTAAATAATAATATTATGCTTTATTCTTGGAATGATATCTTAAACAGAAAATATATGGCGACCGACACATCAGCATGGCAATACTTTGATTTTAACAAGGCATGCTCATATGAAGATGTAATATGGTTACCATTGCATCACCAAAAATTGCATGTCTATAAGTATCTTTTGTGTCATAACATATATAATATTCAAAAAAGGATGACAATGGACAGATAACAGGAGCCAGGTGTCACTTTTGAGACAAGGCCATTCAACTTACATCCTGCGCTCAGCCCATGTTTCAAATAGTAAAAATATATTTTGTCTTGTTTAGGTCTGACCAAGTATTTTAACCCTTATTTAGATGTAGTGTGTTGTACAATTATCCTACCCAGAGGACATGGCCTATCTTTTTCGCCTGGCATGTGATTAATATGTCAGTATCTTGTGTTGACAATGTATTTATTATTATTTTTAATACAAAAACCAAGTACAGGATGGCTGCTTATCTAAATATGTTGTCTTTTCAGGTGAGCTCCAATCGCAAAGCCAGTTCAGTTTATATAATTGGTCCAAACCTCAGGACGTCAGATCTCAGACTTAACATAAACTGCATGTGTTCTTTCTGCAGCAGGAACACATGCTTTTTTGGAAATGAAGCTAATAGTTCCTTATTAAAACCAGTATGCCTCCTTTAAGATTTTTAAAGGGTTGTTGATATTGTTATGCGGCACAGGCGTCACAATGGAGCAGCGATTGTGTGCAGTGAGTGTGTGTGTGTGTGTGTGTGTGTGTGTGTGAATGGTTGGTGGCGGTCGGAGGGGCCGATGGCACATACTGGTTGCCTCACTACTGACAGTGTGCCCCAGGGCATCTGTGGCTACAGCAGTCGTTAACACCACCGTGTATGGAGTGAAAGAATAATTACATTTGAAGAGTTTTTGAGTGTCCTGAAAAGCGCTATATAAGGGAAAGGTCACGTAGATTTTTACAAACGAACTAGGCCAAGTGGCCCGGATCGTCGCCAGGGGTGTGAAAACGGCCCGCGGTCACATGAACGTGTTTTTGCAAACGTGCCAGAGCAACTGTGCTGTAGTACAACACTCAGTCCATCTGGTGGCGCTAATACTAACTTCAGCGACGACCTCGTTGTCCGAGTTAAGTTTCCGTTTCTCTTCCTTTTTAAACTCTGCTACTGTAGCTAACAACGCGAGTACGAATCACGTTGTTTAGGGAAAGACACATCTCACACTTGTTCACATTGTTCTGATGCAAAGTGCAGCAGTTCAGTGGTAACAAGTGTGTGCACGTGTGTGTGTGTGTGCACGTGTGTGTGTGTGCACGCTGCGGACACGAGTGCACACACACACTCTTTAGTAACGAGTGCAAGAGTGCTGAGAAATTAAAAAATGAGAATGAAAGAATGAAAAGTGACAAGCAGGATACAAGTTTGTGTCGGTGTGTTCTGGCAATCAAATAAAGACTGATTCTTGAATGTCTGAAGTATTATTGCAATAGCAGCACACTGAGAGCGAGGGTCAGTACAGAGAGTTATTCTCGTAGGAAACGCTTTTCTTTGGCTCTGGAGCGACACACCCTCCTTCGCCCCTTGACCACGGTCCGGGGCTTATATGAAAGGTTTAACACAAGCGGAGGATACAAAAGTGCAGAGACGTGTGTGAAGAGCGCGTCACAACGGAAGACGTAATGTGACGCACAATATCAAGTCCCCACCACACCTCATCCCCCACTCCCCACCACCCGCCACACTGACCCCCCTCATCTGGCCTTTACAAAGCGGGCCCTGGCCCAAGTCTTCAAACATGCCTGCCCAAGCTCACTTGCTGCAGTCACATAGCACCTAAAGCCCGGATCTAATCGCGAAGTGGGCCCTGTAAGTAAGTAAGTAATGTTTATTTATATACCGCCTTTCACAGACAAGGGTCACAAAGCGGTTTACAATGTTTTTTTTTTTTGCCCTGGCCCACTTAAACCGGGCTTTAGGCTGTGCATGTGACCCCAGCCTAAAACCAATGCCTTGTTAATATTCCCCCCGTGTCTGAGTGAGTTTACTCCGGGGCTTCGGACTGTACAATAGTCCCTGCCTCCACTCCCCCTGTCTGGGACTTTCAGGGCACCCCTGAAAAAGAGATTCTGAAATCTCAATGGGATTTTCCTGGTCAAATAAAGTCATTCAATATATGAATATTAAGAAATTAAGAAATTAAGATCTATTACTTTGTTTTTGTTTTTTTGCTGCTACTGGACACCTGAATTTCTCCTAGGGGGATCAATAAAGTATCTATCCATCTATTGTAGTATATGAATAAAGTTATTTTCATTATCATGACAACTGACAACACTCAAATTAATTTGTAGGAAATTGAAAGCCTGTGACTAAAAGAAGGGTGCTTGTAATTGTGGAGAGAAGGGGTCACATACCCTCATTGCCAATTACATTTTGCAATTGCTGTATAAAAGGGGGAGGTTGGGGGAGGCACTGCCCAAAGTAATGTCATGTCTAGCTGCAGGGCTGAGGGGGAGCCCAGCGACGCTAAGAGCTGCCCTTTCTATTGGCTGGATGTGTGACAGCCTGGGGCCATGGCACAGAGGGTGTCAGCACTCTCTCCAACATGCACACATAGTGCACACCATCAATCTTGGCCACAGCACAGGGAATGTCTACCAGCCAGCCTGCGTGACTGCCTGCTGGGGGAGAGAGGCCCGGATTGAAGCAAACAGGGACAATCGATGGGCGCTTTCATGTCTTTCATGTTCTTTTATGTTACCGCTCAGCATGTGCTCTGTGGGTGCTGCTGTTTGTGTGAGGCATGCATGTTGTCTGATCAGACGAAAATTCCATGTTATTTTCAGATGGCAATCAGTAAAAGGTTGCTCTGGTGCACAAAGCCTAATCTAAAATGTGCATGCAGTTCCCTCTGATTTTTTCTGAAAAGCCCAGTGGCAAGGCATGCCCTTTAGGGTGTTGCCACTTCACATTTAGTACGGCGGAACTGTTGAAAGATTCAAACACGCTGACAACACAAAGAAGAAATAATCAAGAAGTAATGCATAACTGTAAAACATACCATGTTGTTTTCACAATTTGTAATTAATATTTCTCAATGAGCAACACACAAAAAAATATTTTGCGTATGCGTGCATGTGGTGGATAGTTCCAAGTTGACAATATCAATAAATAAAATACCCATTAGAGAGGGGACTTCATAGCAACCATATTATTGCAACCATAAGGCCAGCTAGGAGAGAACTTCTCATTGTGTAGAACTTCTCATTGAGGAGTGGAAACAAACCATTTTTTTATGAACAGCTGGAAATGCGAGGCTCACTCCATATTATAATGTTAGGTGTACATGTGTACAATAGGGAGTGTGTGTAAATAGGTCATGTGTAATATTTGGTTGATTGTAAAGCGGGGATGTGTACAATAATTGGATGTGTGCAAACATTGGACATGTGCAATAACGGGATATGCGCAATAACTGGATGTGTGCAATTATTGTATGTTTGCAATAACAGGATGTGTGCAATTATGTGGACTTGAACATAGTGGACTCTTGGTGGACTATTAATGTGTGGACTGTGGCCTGAGCAGGAAAGCAAGCTCTGTTTTTATTATTTGTTTTTGTAGTTGTTGTTGTATTTGACCCTAACCCTATGGGACTACAGGTGGAAATGAGTCTTTGGCTATAGACTGGCATGTTTACATTCATGATTCAAATGTGGCTGTTCATTGACATGCACTGTCCCATTCAAATTAATAAATATTGATGATGACATTAGAATATTAAAATATTATAACATTAGAATATTATAATATTGTATCGCACATGCCAATGCAATGAATACAATTCATGTTGTGAATAGTAGCAACATGGTCCATTAGCATTTGAATAGCAATGGTACTAAGTCAAAAATAAGATCACTCTACTACTCCACCTAAAATAAATAAAAAGAATAAGTGTAGGGGTATACAAGACCACCGTCTCTGATGGCACCAGGATGCCGGCATCTCTGCCTGGCAGTTGGCACCAGACATGGGCTCCCAATGCCCAAAGCTACTGCCTGGATTCTCAGATTTATGACTATAAGATAAATTAAGTCTCCATTGTACCATCTGCAGACCATCCACATTTCCCAACCGTAAGGAAGGCTTCATGCCACAGAGGACTGATTTTTGGTGCCACTTCGGGTAGTACTTGTATTAAAATCCTTCAATACTGGAAAAAGGAAGTGTTCCCTTGCCAATGTGTCAATAGGAAATGTTATTTTTTATTATGTTATGTCGACATAAAACGTGGCTAATAATAAAATAGATAATAAAAACCGCCTACTCCACAGACTTCACAGTATTTTTTCTTGGCCCCGCCGGCGGGGGCTTGAGAGCTTAAGAGGACTGTTAGTGTTGTATGCGCGTATGAAGGACGTATTGAATTTTAATGTTTGTTTTTTTTCATTAAGTCTCGCGACTGGCCAGACCAGCTCACAGAGACCATGAGGACAAACACATACATGTGATTTTTGTTGCTTGACATTAGTTCTCTTGCCCGTACTGTCCTCTACATTACCACACAGAGACAGCATCAGCAGCCTCATGCCTGCAAGCTCGGCGAGTGTATACACAGCCAATGCTTACCCGCTGTAAACGCTTAAGCAGTGTGAACGCTTACACACTGTGAAAACTTACGCAGTCTGAACGCTTACGCGCTGTGAACGCTTACGCGCTGTGAACGCTTACTGTGTAAATTCCCGGTTACATTGTGTGTGGAAAATGGTGGTGAAACCTGATACTTAATGGTTTTCTGACCCCAGAACAAGAACATCTTATG